GGCACGTCCGAAATATTATTTTATAAGTGGCCGGAAAATGTTATCGGATTGGGATGAAAGTTGGCGTGCGGTGTTGTTTTGTCATCAGTAGGTCGCTCGCCAAGTTTCATCGCATTCGGAGTCCGTTTGACGCCCCAACGAATAACTATAGCGGCAATATAGCCGGTCAAACATCGAGCGTTTTCGGTTTCCGGAAATAGTCGCCGGGTCTCTCTCTTCTCTTCTCTCAGCCCAAGACTTTCTGCACAGTCCACTACCTACCGCCAGGCCCAACCTAACCTCTCTCGTCAGCCCGCGGCCCTCCTCGCGCGCGCGTCCGAAAATTGTCCCGGACCCGACCCGAGCAGTCATGACCGATGGGTCCGGATCATCCCCAAACATCTATATAATATCTTCGTTTTCTTATTTGGACTCCCTAGTTTATTTTTCCCGACCGTTCGATTTTGATCAGAGAGACGAGTTAGCCCCTAACCTAAAATTCATCTGATATAAATATCAGTCTAACCCTAGATCCTAGGGGTTTGTCCCATCCATCAAATCACCTCACCCGCCGCCGCCACTCTCTTCCTTGGGATCGCTCCCGATCCAAACATACACTGGGCCAACCACCTCCTCCCCTCGATCCTCTCCTGATCCGTTCCACCAACCAGATCTCCGACCACCTCCTCGTTTTGCGTCCTCGATCCAAACCCAAGCCAACCAGTAGCTCCTTCTCATCCCCGTGCGCGCAGCGGCCGAGCAGGAGACCTCGCCGAACCACCAGATGAGCTGTGTTGCCCCTTCTTCTTGGCCTTCCGCGCTCCTACCATTCCCTCTCTCTCTGCTCATCTCTCTCCCTCGTTTCCTTTTCTACAGGAGCGCCACCAAGGACGCCATGGAGCCCGATGGAGCTCTGCCATGCTGCCTCAAGCCACATAGCGTTCTGCAGCCGCCGCCGCTCGGATCCCACATGTGCTCGCGGCCCTTCATCGGGCTTCGTCACCGTTGGCCGCATCCACTCCGTCCCCTACCTCGCGCCTCCTCCCGAGTAGGAGCTCCCATGGCTGCCGCCGCCCTCATGGCTACCCCGCAGGAGCTCCCCGCTGCCGGATCTGGATCGCTCTGCTGCCGGGTGCAAGCCGCCGCCGTCCTAGGCTTCTGCAGCCGTGCCGCCATCATCCTAGACGTCCCTGCTTCGCCATGTTCATCCCCGCGGTCTCTGCTTCCTTTTGCACCGAGCCCGAGCTAGAGAACGAGCAGTCGTTCGATCCCCGCTCCCCTGCCTCGCGTTGACTGCGCCTACAGCGTGCCAGGCCGCTGCCCAGCAGCGCCCCAAGCCCTCTGGTGAGAAGCCCAGGTCCAGCACCCCACCTTGCGCAAATGGGCCCGCCAGTTTACAGATTTGCAGAGAACCCCCTAGACTTCATACATTCAATATCTCACAATCTATGCATCATATGTAAAAACTTTATATATGAAAAATGCTTAGATTTGTGTCTAGTTTCATAATATCCAACTTTCAACCATGTTTAAAATGTTTAAGCTTCTATTTGCATTTATTTGCTTAATTGCCATGTTAAAATGATTTAATTCATAACTAAATAACCGTAGCTCCAAACCTAATAAACTTTATATGTAAATGGGGTAGAAAATGCATAGATTGTCATGGTGAATTTACTTTGCATGTTTAAAAACTCTAAAATATGCCTTAGGGTAGAACAGTACCAAATCCATAAGTATGCACATGAGGATTTTCCGGACTTGTTGTTTGTTGTTTCCGGCCTCATTTAAACTTGCCTAAATAGGTAGTTTTGTTGTGCTTAACCCCTTGCCATGTTTAATAACATTTAATATTGTTGGGTACATAAACGAGAGAGAACTAAATAATTGACGTGGTGTTTCGTCAATATGCAACTCGTTGCATATTGAGCTCCACTTAATTTGTAGAATTGCTTGTGCACTTTGCCATGCCATGCTTCATTAAACCGGACATGCATCATACTTGGTTGTGCATCATGCCATGCTTATGTCGTGGTTGTTTACTATGTTGTTTGCTTCTTTCCGGTGTTGCTTCTTCGGGTTAGTTCCAATAACGTCGCGTTTATGAGGATTCGTTCGACTACGTTCGTTTTTCTTCTTCATGGACTCGTTCTTCTTCCTGGCGGGATCTCAGGCAAGATGACCATACCCTCAAAATCACTTCTATCTTTGCTTGCTAGTTGCTCGCTCTATTGCTATGCCGCGATACCTACCACTTGCTATATCATGCCTCCCATATTGTCATGACAAGCCTCTAACCCTTCTTTCCTAGCAAAGCGTTGTTTGGCTATGTTACCGCTTTGCTCAGCCCCTCTTATAGCGTTGCTAGTTGCAGGTGAAGATGAAGTTTGTTCCATATTTGGAACATGGATATGTTGGGATATCACAATATCTCTTATTTATATTAATGCATCTATATACTTGGTAAAGGGTGGAAGGCTCGGCCTTATGCCTGGTGTTTTGTTTCACTCTTGCCGTCCTAGTTTCCGTCATACCGGTGTTATGTTCCTTGATTTTGTGTTCCTTACACGGTTGAGTGTTATGGGGACCCCTTGATAGTTCGCTTTGAATAAAACTCCTCCAGCAAGGCCCAACCTTGGTTTTACCATTTGCCTCACCACCACCTACTTTTCCCTTGGGAGTCGCGCTCCCGAGGGTCATCTTTATCCCCCCCCCCCCCGGGCCAGTGCTTGTCTAAGTGTTGGTCCAAACTAGAGTCCTTTGCAGCGCCACCTCAGGGAAACTTGAGGGCTGATTTTAGTTGTACGGAGCGCTCATCCGGTGTTGCCTAAGAACGAGATATGTGTAGCTCCTATCGGGATGTCGGCGCATCGAGCGGTCTTGCTGGTCTTGTTTTACCATTGTCGAAATGTCTTGTAATCGGGATTCCGAGTCTGATCGGGTCTTCCTGGGAGAAGGAATATCCTTCGTTGACCGTGAGAGCTTGTGATGGGCTAAGTTGGGACACCCCTGCAGGGTTTGAACTTTAGAAAGTTGTGCCAGCGGTTATGGGCAGATGTGAATTTGTTAATGTCCGGTTGTAGAGAACTTGACACTTAACTTAATTAAAATGCATCAACCGCGTGTGTAGCCGTGATGGTCTATTTCCGGCGGAGTCCGGGAAGTGAACACGGCTTTGGAGTTATGTTTGAACGTAAGTAGTTTCATGATCACTTCTAGATCACTTCTAGTTCACGACCATTGCATTGCTTCTCTTCTCGCTCTTATTTATGTATGTTAGCCACCATATATGCTTAGTGCTTGCTGCAGCCCCACCTCACTACCCTTTCCTACCCATATGCTTAAATAGTCTTGATCTCACGGGTGTGAGATTGCTGAGTCCTCATGGCTCACAAATACTTCCAAATAGTTGCAGGTGCCGATGATACCAGAGTAGGTGACGCAACTGAGCTCAGATGGGAGCTCGATGAAGGCCGTGTTGGTTGTGTTGTTTCGTTTCCAGTTGATCAGTAGTGGAGCCCAGTCGGGGCGATCGGGGATCTAGCATTAGGGGTGGTCTTCTTTTATTTTGGTTCCGTAGTCGGACCTTGATTGTATTCTGGATGATGTAATGCTATATTTATGTATTGTGTGAAGTGGGGATTGTAAGCCAACTCTTTATCCCTCTCTTATTTCAGTACATGGGATGTGTAAAGATTACCCCTCTTGCGACATGCCTACTATGCGGTTATGCCTCTAAGTCGTGCTCCGACACGTGGGAGATATAGCCGCGTTGTGGGTGTTACAGAGTTATAGCCTGGCAGAGCGACTAGAGGAGAAACGCTCGTGTTTCTCAAGGTGCCATGACACCCAGTCTGGCTACAGGCTAGGGGTGTGGAACGCCACACATTGTAGAAGCTCATCCCAGGCGGCTTGCTCAAGGGGGCCGAAAAAGCCCGACGGAAGGCGATACTCCCAAGATCAAAAGGGCAGCCTCGACCAAAATAAGTGGCACGCCACTAATGGAGAATAGCTCCGGAAAGCGAGTAACGAAGGAAGGTTACCCGCCAGCGGTCTAGCCAAAATAGGGTTGCAGATCCCGACCTCATCGAGATCGAGGAAGCAATCCGAAGGATGAAGAGAAGTTGGATTATGGAGTGCCAGAATTGGGAGCCTTCTGAGCGTTGGCAAAACGCAAGGGGTTGGCTCCTAAGATATCTCGCCCAGACAATATCCAACCATAATCCACCTTTGTTATTTGCAATGCGCCACAACCATTTTGTAAGAGAGTGATGTTCATGTGTTTGGATGACATGATCCCAAGACCGCCCGAGTCCCTAGGCTTGCAAATACCGGTCCAACAGACCATGTGGTGTTTCTGCTTATCCCCCTCATCGGCCCAGAAGAATTTGGATTGAAACTTTACAATCATGTGAAGGGTTTCGTGAAGGCTATAAAGCTCATGATAAACATGAGGAGGCTAGAAAGGGAGGAGTTAAATATATTGAAATTTAAAACAAGCATTGTTCATTTATTCAATTCACGAAAACTTAGTACAAAGGACGAGAAACAATCACATGTAAGCTTGAACTAAAAGAGCGTCGGTTATTTTCCGAACGGAGGTAATACTGTTTTGGGCATATTTTATGTTTGTAAACTCTCATTGCATGTTGAGAACTTGAACAAATTGCTATGGCTAAACTCTTTTTAAATTTATTTATTACTCTCTTCGTTCTTAAATATTTGTCTTTCTAGAGATTTCAACAAGTGACTATATTCGAAGCAAAATGAGTGAATCTACATTTTAAAATATGTCTATATACATCCATATGTGGTAGTTCATTTGAAATATCTAAAAACACAAATATTTAACAACGGAGGGAGTATTATGGATCCTGCAGCAAACATGATTTGTTTTTGTCCTTTATTTTCAGCCTTCGCCAAACGACCCCTGGACGGCTGGACCTTCCGTGATCCAAAGTCCAAACGACGGAAAGAAGAAGGCCCAAAAGAACAGGAAAACCAGTTTCTAGTGCGTCGCGATGGAGTCCGCCTCGGCGCAATCCGCCGCCGCCAAAATTCCAATCCCCACCCCCTCTCCTCCGATAGCGCAGTCTGACTCCGACCAGCCCCCGAAGGCGATGGCGACGGCGGAGGTGGAGGCAGCAATCGCCGCGCTCCCGGCCAGGAAGGAGGCCTTGCGCGAGGCCTTCGACCGCCTCGCCGCCTGCTCGCCCTTCCCGCTCCCCTTCACCTGGGGCGAGCTCGACGTTCACATCTCCTCCCTCCAGTCCTCCATCTCGCTCCGCCACCGCCAGCTACGGGTCCTCGAGGGGGCCCGCTCCGCCCTCGCCGTTCCCGCACCACTCCCAACCGGCAAGCGCAAAAATCAAGGAGACGAAGACACCACCAGCGAGGAGGAGGAGGTGGAGGAAGAGGAGTACGAGGAAGTGATGGAGGAGGTGGAAGAAGAAGTGGAGGTGGAGGTGGAGGAGGAGGTGGAAGAAGAAGTGGAGGTGGAGGAGGAGGATGCTGATGATGAGGAGGTGGTTGTGGAAGAGGAGGAGGAGGAGGAGGTCGTGGAGATTGAAGAAGATGAGGTAGATGCCAACAATGCGGCAGGCAAGCCGCAGAAGGACGGCGAGCAGATGCTGGAAGCTGAAGAAGAGAAGGTGAATGAGCATAAGGTTTTGGAGGCCAGTGATGAGGCCGAGAGGGACTGCAAGGTAGAGAAGGATGAAGAGGAACCGCAGGTGTCTGACGATGAGATGGGGGATGCCAAAGACGAGCAGCAGGAAGCCAAGAAGGTTTCTGTGAAAAAAGTGTGTAATAAGGATCTTGTAGCGGCATGCTCTAGAATGAACGTCGCAGGACTGGTGAATATCGTGTTTAACAACAACATCGACCGTCAAGAGTACCCTGTGGCCATGTGCAATGCCAAAGATGCCGCTGCTCTTGTCCTTGATGTGGTTAGGATCTTTCTGCCCAAAAAACAGACCAAGACCAACAGGATCTGGGAGAACTGTGTTGCGCTGATCCGCTGTGTGCCTGCTGTGGCACCCAAGCTTTCTGTGCGCATGATAGATCAGGCCAAGCTGTTTGCCAAATACTGGAAGAAGAAGATCGGTGAGTCGGAGATTTGTGGAGATCATGGCATGCTGGACTCATGGGCCTTCCTTAACTTCATCATTTCTTACAACATTGTATCAGAGTTTGATGTCGATGAGATCATCCGTCTCTATGGCACTGTCCCACGCAAATATCAGAAGAAGAACTGCGTCAATCTCTGCAAGGGTCTTGGTCTTGTCAGTAGGATCAGCGACTTAATTGATTATTTGATTGAAAATGGACAACAGTTGAGCGTCATACCAATGACACAGGTTCTTCAATTGGTGGACAAATATCCACCACTTGCTCTTCTGGAGGGATATGTTGAGAAGGCAAAAGGGACTGCTCTAGAGTTACTTAGCAAGAATGGATTAGACAAGTCCCTGAATCTGACCATATCAAAGGAGATTGAGAATCTTCGGCTTGCGGAATCTATGGTTAAACAGCAACTCACTGATTCAAGAAAATCGGTTACTATCTTGGAAGAGATTAACAAATTGTTAGTTGAGTATGCAAAGAGCCGTATTACAACAAATGCCTCTACTACATCGACATTAAATTCAAGGCAGCAGCAAAAGACCCAACAGCAGAAGCAAAAGCAGAAATACAAGAAGCACAAGAAGGAGCAGCAGCAACACGAGGGACAAGTTGGCCAAGTGCAGGGGAAACAAAGAAAGCTGGAAGGGAAACAGCTGTACTTAAACCAGCCAAGGCCATGTGTTACCAAGCTACCAACTCCAACTGGTCCTTCCGCAAGATCTCTATCACCTGTGATTCCGAATGTGACACAGATTGGCCCCATTGGGCATCGGCCGTTTGATTTAATGCCTGCAATTCCTCTACCATTTTTACCGGGAATTCAAGGTGGGCCAGTTGCAGCAAATGTCGTACCTACTCGGCATAATCCTTTCCAGCAAAATCCTTTATACCGCCATCCGTCATTCCACCCCTAGCACTTTACTTCAGTAGCTTATCAAGTAAACTACAACTCAGACATAGGATTTGTAAAGAATTGCCTGCCATTTCCTTTTGTGTTATGCGTTTCTTTATAAGCTTGTTTTTTGACAACCTGTGACTATCCAAAAAAGGAGTCGTTTTGAGTTCATGTCCAGCACCCAGCTCATGGTACTCTGCTTTTGTGTTTCTTCATTAATCAGTAGCCTTCATGATTACATGCTGTCCATTACTCTCGTGTCTCCATACACAATTACACATCAGACACATGCATCCACACTAGTGCTCCTAATGACAGGGAACGCTGATCACTGTACAAAATTGAAATTATTACTGAGTAGCACCAGTACTCCACCAAACTGAGTAGTTAAATGTGCATGGTTAATTGCCAGGGTTTAAAATCTCGTAGGTAGACGTAACTAAGAGTTCACATTCACACTCCTTCAACTAATTAAATACTTTGAACTTTAAAACTGGCGGGATAAATATGTACTCCAGTATATTTTGGTCTTGCTTAGCAGGCCGGGGTGGGGGAAGTCACCGTTCAGGATCTGGTTGCTGCAATCTTGAGAGAAAAATATGGTGATTGACGGAGTAGGTCCCTCCCCATGTTCGTAATTCTAGCTGAACCTAGAAATGAACAGGGCTGTTGAATGATGAGTAGATTTTCCATCTTCCTGTAACCAAGTCAAGCTTGTGTGAACCATGTGGTTCATCAAATTCAACAGTATTCATTAGCTTGCCATGTAAAATGAATGACTGTCTTGTTGACCAATGACCAGTGAATGTGCTATGTATTATCCAGCCAGCTAGATTGGTGCCTTGGTTGCAGTTGGTGATAGCATTGTCATAATAAAGGTGATAGCATTGTCATTTTTTATCATTACTATTTATTTATTTGGATTACTGTTATCCAGATACATGTTTGTAGTAGTTGAGTTCATTGGCTTCCCTTCTTTGTTATGAAAGATATGCCTCTGAGCATGGTTTCATGGTTAAGTTGCCATATGGTTAGGCAATAGGTTATATTTTCTCAATAGATTGGTGGTGATGTGGTACACTTTATAGGGAGTGAACGAAATTTCGTGACATGATTTTCCCCGCCCTTTCTCAAAAATGCGTATTTTTCACCACTATCAATATTTTGGTAAGTACTATTTTGGAAATTATTAGCTTTTCTATACAACAACAACAACAACAAAGCCTTTAGTCCCAAACAAGTTGGGGTAGGCTAGAGGTGAAACCCATAAGATCTCGCAACCAACTCATGGCTCTGGCACATGGATAGCAAGCTTCCACGCACCCCTGTCCATAGCTAGCTCTTTGGTGATACTCCAATCCTTCAGGTCTCTCTTAACGGACTCCTCCCATGTCAAATTCGGTCTAAATTATTAGCTTTTCTATAAATATAATAATTTATAACCATAGGACTCAAACCCACGACCAGCCACAACAATATGCAGAGATCTCAATGGCTGCAGTACACCATAATTTGTGACTACTAAATTATTTTTCCTCTTTCTATAGCTATACTGCTGTATAGTGTATGAATTTTGAATTTTGCCTCTTCTCTCTCCTCCCTAGCATCCCAAATCAATGCCAACCATTGATTCAATTTACAAAGACAACGATCTATGATCTGATCTTTACTGTACCAAATCCAACGGTCAATATCTTCGGGATTCGCTGTCATCCCACCACTGTCATCCCACCGCGTGCGACTGGAAGCGCCTAGAACACCCCTACCGTGACACTTCCAGACCCCTCCGCACTCTTGCTGCTGCTCCGCGTGCTCACCGCCATAGCTTCCTGGCATCTCCGTGCGTATGTGCCTCTGGCCGCAGTCGCCCCACCCTGCAAGTGCTAGCAGCTGGATGCCATACCACTGCTGCCCGGCCACTGGCTGAACATATCGGACTCAAGCGCGCACTGACGCACATACAACTTAGATATTGAACTAGTGGTTGGGGGCCGCCATTGCGGGCCTCTTGAGAGGAACTTGTGCATGTCTTTCTCCCTCTCAAAGAAAAAACCTCAATTTCATCTCAAAATTGAAAAGAAAACTTTCTCACAACACGTGAACATCACATCCATCTCAAAAAGAAAAAGAAAAAGCCTAAAAACTTTCTTAAAATGAAAAAGAAACAAAAGTCTCACTTTCATCTTTCAAAAATAATCTCCAAAAAAACTTTTCTCAAAAGAAAAAAAAGGTCTCAATTTCATCTTCCAAAAAAATAAAAAAGTTTCTCAATTTCATCTTCCAAGAAAATCAAAAAGTTTTTTGTCATGGCCAACCAGCATGCGCCACGTGGCCATGCTGGTTGGCCACCATTCTCCCGTAGCTTAATGTGTTTGATAGGTAAGATTTCCATCTGATGAAGTACTAGCTTCTTTCTTTACTAATCTGTATATATTCCTGCCGTAAATCTGAACCCAGAGTTTGCGTCTCAGCCTTAAGAGAAATCAAGATGTGGATTACAGCGTTTTCTGATCACCATGTTTTTGAGTTTATGCCTACAAAGAATTTCTTATTGTTTCCATTCTAATAGACTTCTATAAGTGCTATACCGGTTTAAAAGGACATGCTCAGTCATCTTAACATTTCAAATGAATCTGTTTTTTTATAGATAACAATATGTGTATGTTCCACTGTAACATGACAAAATAAATCTTGACCAGAGCATCAATATTGCCTATTATTGGATTTTGTATCAAGTAATATACAACGAAAAAAATGTTTGTTACAAGTAGTTGGACGTGTAGCATGGCATCCTTATACTGCTGCATGTTCTTCCTATGCTCATGCTAATTAGGGATCTACTAATGTTTCTCATCACCTTAGCAAGAATCACATGTGGACAATTATCTAGGAAGGACATGAAAGCAAATTCAAGTAACTATACAACAAGGTCCACCGGAATATTGGGACGGGCTCCTTTTTCAAGATATTATAAATGTGGTAGACTTACATAGTTATCAAAACGGAAACGAGGTATATCTTTAATATTTCTGATCAAAACATTGTTTGATGCAAGATTACACGTTTTTATTATATACTGCTATATATATATATATATATATAAGAAATACCAATGCCTTGTATGTTAAACATTAATTTCAGCACAAGAAAAATATTGGTTCAGTGGGTCATCCAGTTAAAAAAAAAGGGCAGCCCCGTGCATGTAGCTCCCGCTTGTGCAGGGTCCGGGGAATGGTCTGGCCACTTTGGATCTTTTGTACACAGCCTTTCCCATGATGTTCCTGATGGCCACTCAGTCAGGTTATGTTTATCTTCAAAACATACACCTATATAATAAGAAACATATTTATCGTTCAGGTTATATAACATAAGCATTTCTGATATGTAGAACAACATAAATAAAAATAGTTGGTAGCATCCAGTCGTTTTATCAGTATCTACTTTTCTTCATGAATAAATAAATACAATAATGTATGCATTCTTTTTGTCTTCGGAAAACAGTGACCATAGTTGGAAATTTAAAATGTTCTCCAGCTTACTATATCCTTCTAAACGACATAATCATTTCAGTTGCTGAAAATCAGAGCATGATCAGTCCATCTGACATACTTGCATCATGTAATGAACGGACGAGTATTTTGGTCAATGTAGGCGTATAGCAGCATTTCAGAATGTAACCTTTTAAACTACACCCAGATGTTCTGCCCAAGGTTACCATATCTGGTCACTCACCAAAAAACAATAATGTCAGAAATCTTGCCAAAGCTTTTCCATGGTTGTAGGGTATATATAACCTCCTCGTAATGTTTGATAGGCATAGTTGCAAATTGCTACACCTGCCTCTATTTTTCGAAGTTCAGAACTGAAAATAGCTATGAATATGGGATGCAGATTTCCCCATGTTGCATTAGTCTTCCCAAATTCTCAAAATAAAATAAAATCATCAACATGTACAAAATTTCCTAAAGACATGGCATATACCATGTACAAACAGCAAGAGACAAATGAACTGTAACATCGATTTATGATCATATTTTTAAGCAACCATGCTACATCATGGTCATATTTTGTGATGCATTTCTTCCTGGAAATCATAGGGGATCTATGCAACACTAATATGTGGTTGCGAATTCTACATTGCGAGGGAGATATAATCATGAAACATCAATGTTGCCGGTTCATATTACATTGCGAGTGTCTGTACAACAGAGTAGTAATTAATAATCAGTGGACTTAAGCTCTAACACGATCGAAAATGACAGCCATCAAGATCATAACAAATCGAGGTGGACGGTGGCAAGTAGGTCTCCGCACAACCATGCAGACAACAAGTACAGGAGCTGCCTGCCTTATCCCTGACAACACTTCAGTTTCAGGTCAATTTGTATTCTTTCTTCTCTTTGCATCTTCTATCCTTTATTACCTTGCCGAACTCAATTTGGAATGGTTGGATTGGTTACTCTGCAAGATTAAGTTACAACACATGGATCAGTTTACAGTGCATATGTGGTCACATTCTTCTCTTTTTTACTAGCAGAAACTAAACCAGATACGTGCGCTTGTTCACGGACGCAGCGCCTTCAGCTGGTGTGTCTCCAGCAGGCAGCAGGACCCCGCTAACAAGGAGCTCAAAACATTTCTCATGCGAGTGGAGGTCCAATGGAGTGAGCAAGATGCAGTGATCAGGTTGTTTTAAATCCATATTACTAAAATTGTTGTATCAGATTTTTCTAGAGCGTTTATCCACATCAGATTTCATAACACTGAGGACTACAACAATTGATGCTTATCAGTACAGAACTTCAAAACCAGAATAGTAAAGGTTTGTATGTCAGAATAATGCAAGAACTGCCAAGTGCATTTTTCTCCTCTTCAATGACCTCTATTTTTCATTAGCATAAATTAAACCAGATGGGTGTGCGAAGTGTTGTGCAAATCGAAGGACAAACATCATATCAGGAAAAGTAAATTCTAAGAACAAACAAGAATCTTTTACTACACTTTGGGAAAATCAGAGAC